GGAGCAGGGCCAACATATGCAAGGGCAGTGTAAAGGAAATCATAGGTTCCCCATTTGCGGGATTTACACAGGGCTGGCTGAGGGTCTTGTGCACGTGGATGTGGAATCCTGTGCAGCTGGTGGTGTGAGCCACTGTGGCTGTTGGTGTCAGGAGAGTCTCAGGTGGAATCGCTCACAGCTCCGTCGGGAACACAGTACAAGGAGAACTGTTGTTGCTTGATCTTCCATTTCTTAGGCAGGAGCATTTTGTCCTCAGAGCATGAGATGTCACTAACCTTGGGAGTATTTTTCCAACCTTGGAATGACTGAAATATGAGACCATTGTCTCTAGATAATATCACACATGACACACAAAAGTGTGGACAGACTTGGGCAGATTGGAACTCTTGTACACTGGTGAGATGGAAAACATCACAGCAGCTACAGAAAACACTGTAGAGGGACCTCAGACTGGAAACTGACATGCTATATGACCGAGCAACCCAAATTCTGCTGAATCTTGAAGGGTGTTAGCACTCCCCTGTCCACAGCAGCGCAATCAACAATGGCCAAGATGGCAAAGAGATAAGAATGCCCGGCAAGGAGTTAGTAGATAAAGAATATGTGGTACCGACACACAAGGGAAGAGTATTCACTCTTCAGAGAGAAGAGCTCCCCTCATTTGGGACAATAGGGATCCACCTGGAGGACATTAAAGTGAGGGAAATATACCAGTTGCAGAAGGCCCTGTGGCACTTTCCCTACTCCTGTGAGGAATGAGAAATATGAGACCCCAAGATAAGGAAAGACTGGAAAAGTGTGGGGAGGAGGGGAGGAAAAGGCAGCAAGTTCCTACCCAATAAGCATTAAGCTTCAGTTCTGTAGGACGAGTAACTTCTGAGACTGATGCTCCACACTACGCCTGCTGTGCATGATACAACACAATCCCGTGCACACTTACTATGGAACATCTACCTCTGGCATCCAGTGTTCTCAGCACAGTGAAAGGAAGACAGGCAAGGTGGCGTGGATAATGATACAGAATTGACTGAGAATCCATAAGTGATGCATGCATTTAGGGAGACAGCTCAACATCAACAGGAAAGGAGAAAGTAGCACTGCAAGCATGCAGGGTACGCGGCAAAGAAAAATGATCATAAAGATGACCCATAGCCTGCTATACTGATGACTTAATAATGAAGAATGTTATTCTCTATATTATTCAGAGAGAGGGGTGAAGGTTTTGGCTTCTGAATTTAAATCAAGACCAGATCTACCCTAAGGATGAGTGAAGCTGGTGACATCCAAACAACCCCAGGGAGAGGAGGAAGGGAGTCAAGTTCATCACAAGCTCTTATGATGGTGGGCCAGAGATAGGTTTCCTGGTAATAACACGGCTGTTTTCAGCAAAGGTAGGAAGTGTATTTGTGTGAAGAAGGAAAGGCAACACAAGAAGTTTGGCAGCACTGATAGTGGCCCTTGGGGATCATCAGCAGCAGAGCTGGCAACAGCTGGACTCACAGCAGCTGGGTTGGCAGCAAGGGGTGCTGTAGCAGCTGGTCACACAGGTGGGCTTGAAGCAGGTGCTACAGCAGGTGGTTTGACAGCAGGTTGGGGGGCAGCAGGGCTGGCAGCAGCTGGAACCACAGCTGGTTTGGCCACCGCAGCTGGGCTGGCAGCAGGGGGAGCTGCAGCTGCTGGTGACACAGGCTGGTTTCCAGCAGGTGGTCCTGCAGCAAGGGGGGCAGCAGGACTGAGTCATGGTGTCAGGCGTGGGGCGGGTCCTGGTCACAGGAGAGATTCTCAGGATGTGGTGACCTCTTCCCATCTGGGCCTTTTATACCCTGGCCCCAGAAGATGCAAGCCAATCAGCAAGTGTTTTCCTTGTTGTTTACACTCATTCCCACATTTAATTTGTGTTTGCCAGGGAAAGAACTGTTCACCAAATGGGATGAAGCTCTTAAAAGTCAGTGTTTAATCTGTTCCTCAACTGGCAGTAACTCGGGGGTCCTTTTCCGGATAGAGGAAGGAGTCCCCTCGTCGGTTCCTGTCCTGGACACCTTCCGGTCATGTGCTTGTGTCTGCTGCCCTGGGGCTCAGGAAGGCTCTTCCTCTCCCTCCTTCTTCCTTGGGCTGCGCTTAGGTGAGCACGTGTGCGTGGGAGGGGCGTGGACTTCACAGTGAGGAGCGAGTTCCTGGCTCCACGTCTGTTCACCCACAAGGCTGAGCGGGTAACATACAGGGCGGGGGCAGTCGCTGAACTGTTTCTCCTCTGCGATGCGCCTTTATGTGCCACTCTGCCTTGGAGCCAGCTGATTGTGGGCTGAAACCTTTTTGAACTTTCAGCCAAATAAACCCTTTGCTCCCTAACTCTGGGTGTTGGGAATTTTGTCTCAGCAATGGGAAAAAAGTAACTAACACATAATGTCTTCCGGTTTAGACTCCTCCCCTTTCCCCCTTTGCTGTGTTCATTGGTGGGGCTTTCAGGAGGTGATTGGGCCACGGAGTTTACTCATCAGAGCAGTGATTCACAGAAGGGTTTGTAGCTGCGCATGCTGCTGTGAGGAGGTGGGGTCTGGTCAGACAGGTGGTCCCTGGGGCGTGGCCCGGAAGGGAGGGAGCACTTCCTTCCCTGCGCCTCCCTTCCCTCTGCTCCCTGGCCGTGAACAGCTATGCCTGCCGCCCAGTTCCCCCATGTCCTTCGCGCCTAAGAGCAAGTCAACCATGGACTGAATCTTCTGAAATCTGAGAAGCAAAATAAACCTCTCCTCCTTTGAATTGTGGGTGTCAGGTAATTTGTCCCAGGTTGCTTTCTGGCTCACAGAACAAGGGAGCCTACCGCTCCTTGGGGCATCCAAGGAGTACTTGTAGCAAAATTGCTGAGCATTGTGGTGAAATCTGAACACACACACACACACACACACACACACACAAACACACACAACGCTGATCATTTTTGTGAATTCAATACTGGTCATGTCTGCAGCAGTACTGTATCATTCTGAACAACAGGAGTAAAGACGTGTCTGTAACCACCAACCCAAATGCTCAGAGGAGCAACTTACTCTTCGGATATGAAAACAACTGCTAACCCCCTAGGTGAACCTAGGGAAACCTGTGATTGACGAACACAACTCTGAAGCTGGTGGCATCAGATTATCACCAGATCAACCCACACATAAAACCTGAGATCCCGCTGACCTTCAAAACCCAAGCAACTCCTCAGAGTTTTACATTTGAACTCCCAAAGAGATGGGAGAAGAAAGTCTGAGTTATCGTATTATTATTATTTTTTTGGTACCGGGGATCGAACTCGGGTCCTTGCGCTTGCACAGCAGAAGTCTGAGTTATCTTAAAAACATAACTAGAATGTTACAACAGGTAGCACTCTTAAATGATAGGGCTGGAAGGAATCAAATGAAGCACCAGAATGCTCATGAATTGGAAATATCACAATTTGGCTATCTAATCTGTTGCCACAGGTGTAGAAAATTAGAGGTCATATTATTATCCTGACATGATAGAAGTAGGAACAACCAGTTCATGCAAATGGATCTTAAAGAAAACCAGTGGCTTACAGGTGAGCAGGATTTACACCAACCTGGGTGAGGATTTTGTGAAAAAGAATGCGTGCTTCTCAAAACTGAGTGGGGTGCTCCACAGTAGAAAGTCAGGCTCACGAGAGGCTCAGAGGGGGCTGTTGGCAGTGCCCAGCTGAGCGCGGCACAGGGGGGACACTGCCCTCCATCTTCCCGTTCCTTAAGCACAGGTGTGCACTTTCCCTAGTTGGATGAACATTAAAATATTATTACAAGTTTTAAATGAGTGACATAGTGGAAGAGTGTGCCTAAAATTACCAAAGACAACATCCAAAATATGTTATGAGGGGTGTGGAGAATTTGGCGATCATATTTGTTCCTCGGGATGTGAAATGTTGCAGGAAGTATGAGAAACCGTATGGAGGGGTCTCAAAAAATTGAAAGTGGAACAACTGTATGGAGCAGCAACTCTAATTCTGGATATTTATGCAAAAGAATTGAAATTAGAATTTTGAGGAGAGTGGCAGCTCTATTAACAACATGGAAGACATGGAAACTGTAGGAATATCCATCCACATATGAACACTTCAGAAAAAGTGGTTCAGAAATACAGTGGAAGGACATTCGGCTTTAAAAGAGAAGGAAATGGGTGTGTTTGTGATCCATGGAGGGACCTTGAGGATACTATGCCAAGTGAAATAAGCCAATCCCGGGAAGACTAGTGCGATACCATCACCCAGGCACTGAGGAAGGTAAAACAACCAGATTCAGATGAGGAAGAGGGGAGTGGTGGATCCCAGAGGCTGTGGGTAGGAGGGGTGGGAGAGGGTAGGGAGTTGTTAATCAGTGGGAATTGAATTTCAGTTTTGCAGGGTGAATAACTTCTTGAGATCTGGTCTTCAGCACGGTGCCCTCTTGTACACTTAGAAATCTGCAGGGCCGTACATCTTATGCCAAGTGTTCTTAGCACAATGAAACGGAGACAGACAACGTGTGCTGAATAACAGAGCTGCATTTATTGAGAATGTATGAAGCCTACATAATCTAGGGAGACAACTCAAGCGATGCGGAAAGGAGAAAGCAGAGCATGCAAGCATGCAGAGTACAGTGCCAAAGAAGACGTGATTATAGCCATGCTTGATCAGTTGCCTAAGCTTATGACTTTTCATGAAGAAGAGTTTTCCTATGTTGTTCAGGGGATGAGATGACCATCTTGGCTTCAGAGCTCAAGTCAAGGCTGGAGTTGCACGCCAAGATCTGTGAAGCTGGCAGAAGACTGACAGCACCTAAGGGCTCAGAGGCTGAGGGTGGAGGACTCTGCCTTCCCTTGTAGTCATCCACTGGTTCTTACAACACTGCATGAGGAACGGATGTCCTGGTGCTAGCTTGGTGATGTCAGAAAGGCAGGGAGTGCATTTGTGCGGAAATGGCATGGTGGTTCCTCGGATTTGGTGGGGCGGATGGTGGTCTTTGGGGAGTTGATCAGCAGCTGCAGGGCTGGCAGCAGCTGGATCCGAAGCTCTCGGGGAGGCTCCCAGTCAGGCAGACGCACGTGGGGTGGTAGCAGGTTCTGGTGCAGATCACGGGTCCAGAGCAGGCTGGCTGGCAGCAGGTGGGCTGGCAGCAGCTGGGCTGGCAGCAGCTGGAGCCACAGCTGGTTTGGCCACAGGAACTGGACTCACAGCAGCTGGGCTGGCAGCAGCTGGACACACAGCACCTAGGCTGGCAGATAGGGGTGCTGTAGCAGCTGGTCACACAGGTGGGCTTGAAGCAGGTGCTGCAGCAGCTGGTTTGACAGCAGGTTGGGGGGCAGCAGGGCTGGCAGCAGCTGGAACCACAGCTGGTTTGGCCACCGCAGCTGGGCTGGCAGCAGGGGGAGCTGCAGCTGCTGGTGACACAGGCTGGTTTCCAGCAGGTGGTCCTGCAGCAGGTGGTCCTGCAGCAGGTGGGCTGGCAGCAAGGAGAGCAGCAGGAGTGGGTCATGGTGTCAGGTGTGGAGGACGGGTCCTGGTCACAGGAGAGTTTCTCAGGATGTGGTGACCTCTTCCCTTTTATACTGGCCTTTTATACTCTTTGCTTCCAAAAATTGAACCAATCAGTATCCTTTTCCCTATTCTTGTTTATATTGTTTTCCATATTCTGTTTAGGAATTGACAAGAAGGAAATAGTCCTCTAGGTGTTGTGAGCCCTTTCAAAGTAAGTGTTTAATCTGTCTCTTAATTGGCAGTCACTCACAGGGACTTCTGCAGATAAAAGGGAAGAGTCACAGAGTCCGCGCCCTTCGGGCACTGACTGTCCTCTGCCTGCGGCAGCTCCTGCCCAGAGAGGGTCGGGCGTTGCTCCCCTACTCTCTTACTGCCCTGGCTCTGTGAGGCTAGGAAGCGTCTTTGGGGAGGGGCGAGGTGCTGCGTTGATCCCAGCAGTGAACCAGTGCCTGGTTCTGTGTCTGCTCACAGAATCCTGACAGAAGGGTAAACGGGCGCAGGTCTGTGTTCCAGCGTCTTCGCCTGTGCCTGCCAGGTTTACCCAGAGCACTGGGGAGCAGACTGTGGCCAGGGGGATCCCATGGCAGAGGAGAACCAGGGCACGAGGACAGACGTGGAAGCACGTCCTTTTAGGGTGAAGTGGGTTTCAGAGAATTCGAGGGGACCATTGCTTCTTCTTCTTTTTTTTTTTTGGTACCGGGGATTGAACTCGGGACCTTGTGCTTGCGAGGCAGGCGGGTACACCACTGAGCTACATCCCGGGCTGTGCTTCTGATCCCCATACACCTCAGGAGGTGGTTAGGAGACTTGTGGCTCTCCGCTGTGTCGCTGTCCTGGCAGCTGGTGATCCCGGCTGTCCTCTGAGTCCCAGGGAGGTCACTGACCTCAGGGCATCCTTCCCCCTTCCTTCCTCCCTTCCTCCTCCTCCCCTTCTCTTCTTTGTTATATGAAGGATTTGAGTAGTTGGCATACTACCTGATTTGTCTTTAAGGACTAACATCTAAAATCTCTCTGTTAGGCAGACCGCTCATTTAAAAAGAATGAAATGATTAATTTCCATCTTGACAGAATATCAGAAAGTGAGCACATCTATGACTTCATTACCTGGCTAGGAAATAGAAATTAAGTCCCTTCCTGCAATCATAGCTTCTCACTCATCGTCAGGGGGAGCTCTTTACTCTGTGGACTTGTGACCCCGTAGATCAGTTCTGGTTCTGTTTGACTTTCTTTCCCCCAGTACTGGGGATCGAACCCAGAGCCTCGTGTGCTCTAACAAGCATTCTACCATGGAGATCCCCCCCTCACCCCTTTATCTACTTTTCATGTAAATAAAAATAGAATAGTCTACTCTCTGTTTACCTTAGGATTGTGTCATCATTGTAATTGCCCATATTTTGTCTCATTATCAGTAATTATCTGTGGCTTATTTAGGCTCGGAAGCATCCAGTAATGTATGAATTTGACACAGTTTATTTGAAGCTTGGAAAACATGTAACTTGTTTGTAATTTGGGACTTTAGAAAAATAATGCTGTGATGAATGTTTATGCACATGGCTTTCAGTAAATGCATTCAAAAGTTTCTATTGTGTATGCAAGCAGGTGTAGAATCGCTCATATAATTGCTTGGTATTTGTCTTTTTTTTAATGATCAATGCTTTTTATCACATAATATTTAGTAGTCAGGCTCAATCAACAAGGTCAACAGAAACTTGTAATTACTCTGCTAAGTAATCTAGCACACTATTACATTTATTTTTCAGTGTAGTAACATTAAAATAATTCTTCTATCCTTTATTCACACATTTTTGCAAACTGGGGAGTAAATACAGCTATAAACACTCAAGAACTTTTCTTAAAGCAAGTAAGATTAACAGAGACTAAAATTATAGTTCTTGATAAACCAAAGACTGATCGTGACCCTAGTAACACCGAAATCTAAGTAGCGCTGTCGGAAAAGTGCTCTGGTGGTGCATGACAACTTATGGTCTCCTTAGCGGTCTATTTGAGGTGATATTTTTAAACTGCTAACATGTATTAACTCTTAGTAAAGAGTAGTCAAAGTTTAGAACATTCTGATCAAAATGGGTCTGAACATGTCTTTCCAACCCCTGCTGGTCATGATCAGGAGGGAACTGCTCATTGCACGTTGGGCACACCTTCCACTGACTCTCCACACATTCTTCAAATCTGCTCTGATCATAGTTGGGAGGGAACATTAATTCACACAGGGGACACTTCCTGTGAACATCAAAGCTGGAGTCAAAGCAAAAGCCTGCTCCACGCCCACGTAAGTGCTGGCTTGGTGGATCAGGGGCAGTAGGCACATTTGCATCTTCTTTGCTATCATCAGGGGCCTCTAAACCATCAGGCCGACTAAGGTTTTGAGCAGGCTGGCTGCAGACAGCACTGTCTTTCCAAGAGGGGACTCTCGCAGGTGGCCTTTGGATTTCATCTGGGTAAAAGGCACCATCTGCTCCTTCTCTGCTGTGTTGCATAAGGGTTACATACTGCAGAGCTGGCGGTGCACTTGACAGCACAAGAATGCGCCCATTTTGCTCTGAGAATGCACTGAGATCCTGTGAGACCTGCTGAAGCTTATGACCTTCCATTTTCCTTTCTGTTTGGTTTCCTACCCCCCTTTTAAGTTCCTTACCCCTGGAGAGGTTTTCCAACTGTGAAGTCAGAATATTTATTTCTTTGTCTTTCTCTGCCAACTGAAGTTTGTGATTATCCTCTATTTCAGCTAATTCGAGTTTTACATTTTCAGAAATTTCCTTCCATTTCAGCCCCATTTTTGCAATTTCATCAGCATATTTACTGCATTTAGCTTTCTCATCCTGTAAGAGTTGTTTGCATTTATTATATTTTTCAGTTTTGTCAGCAATTTCTTTGGTCATTTCACAGACTTCACTCTAAATTTGTTAGCATGTCAAAATTGGTCACTGCTGCAGAAGGTATTGATGGCTTTATGTCTATGGCAGAGGCAGAAGCAGATGACTCTGTGTCTACCGTTCACTTTCTGTTGATTCCCAATTTTCTCTGAGCAGACACTATTATTATCGGCTGGTTGTTCTGTAAGTTTGTTTATTTGTTTTTGGAACCTCTGGCATTCTTTAAATTTTTCTTTATAATGATCTGCAGCCATCTGGATGGAGTTTCAGATCTTCAGTTACTCTTCTAAGTTCGTGTTCCAGTGTGTCAGCCTTTTCCTCATCTTTTTTCACAGCAGTTAGTTTAAGTTCTGCGAATGCATCAGCTAACTGCTTTTTCACTTTCTCTTTTTCCAAGAGCGCAGGATGTAAATCTGCCAGTGTTTTATCTCGCACATTCACAGCATCACTAAGTTCTTTAGCCAGAAAGACAACTGCTTGTCGAGTTGCCTGAACTTGTTCCTCTGCTTCACAAGTTGCTCTTTTAACAAGAATGTATCTTCTTTACTTGAGGTTGTAAGCAGGAAAGCCCTTTGCATGTTTTCCTTCTCGGCCAAGCACAACTGAAGTCTGCCAATCTCTTCTTTGAAATGAACAATCATGCTTTCTTTGTTTCCATCGAAATTCTTTAAAGTCTGGACCTCTGACGCAAGTTTAGTATTTTCTATTTCTTTTTCTTTCTTTTTTTTTTTCTCTGACACAAGTTTAGTATTTTCTATTTCTTTTTCTTTCTTTTTTTTTTTTTTTTTACTGACACATTACTGTTTTTAAATATAATGATAATTACATTACATCAAAATTTTGTGCATGGTAAAATATGGATCTTATAATGATCAAAAGTTTCCAAATTTCTGTACGTGCTACATGTTAAGGTCAAAATATAAGTTAAGGATTCTTCTTCTTCTGCCAGTAGCAGTCCTCATGGCTTCCCTCTTGGGCTGTCTTTGCTCACTCTCTGTGACGTTCCTCAGCAGATATTCCACATTCTTGGGGTCTCCAATTTCCAGGGGTTTCTACTGCACTTCCGGCTTCACTTTCACAACTTGGCTCACTGTTTTCTCAAGGGGCACAGCCTGGTCTCCTAGGCTGTCCTCTGAAATTGGGCTGGATGGCTCCCTGACCGCACAGCTCTTGGATTCTGCAGATGTTAAAACCAAGACCACATGGGTGATGCTGACTTGCCTGCTTATATGCCAATTATCTCTGGAAATACCCCTCAGACGTCCCTAGAAATGTGCTTTACTAATCTGCCAGGTGTCCCTTAATTGAATTAAATCGATAATGAAAATTAACCAAATGTCACATGAACCAAATGAAAATATATACTGATATATGAGAAACATCAGAATTTGTGTTGTTCACTTGGGTATTAAGAAACTGGAAAATGAGACAGAAAAAAATATCCTTGGAAAGTAAAACTTAAAAGCAACATAAATAAGAGTAGAGCCAATTTATGCAAAGCCACCTTAGGAAGAAAGAATGGCTTCAGGACTAACAGAATTTCCTTTAACCTGGCTGTGGATTCTATAAATATAAATGTGTATTTCTTGAAAGGCAGTAGACAGTCAACCATGGAAGTTTGGAATCAGGAGATGCACAGGTGTAATAGTTGGCAGTAGCTAGCTGAGGATTTCATAGAGAGGGGACATTGTTCCTTGTGTCCTTTCATTTCTCTAGCAAGTTCCTGTATTTTGACATGAGTGCATGAGATGTTATTAAATATTGGTTACCCTCACTCACAAAATGGGGTATTTGCATTCTCGCCCCCATGTCTTTAAGCCTACTGGGTTGAACGTTTGTTTCCATGGCAGTGATGTTTCTACTACAGAACATAACCCAAAATAAAATCATCACCTGTTCATTTTGGACTCTGTATCAGCAGACCAGCTTGCAAAGAATGGAGTTGCTATTTGTTGAGGAGCAATTACCATGAAGGTATAGAGTGTAGGAAGACTATCTGGAACTCAAGGGATTTATGAGATGTGTACTTTTCTTGAGCTACCATAGCAAACTACCATAAACCAAGCAACTTAGATTTATTGTCTTACATTTCTGGAGGTATTAGTCT